AAAAAAAAAAAAAAAAAAAAAAAAAAAAAAAAAAAAAAAAAAAAAAAAAAAAAAAAAAAAAAAAAAAAAAAAAAAAAAAAAAAAAAAAATTATTAACAAAAATAGTGACTATCCATTTTAAAAAATATGTACACATTTATGACGTGGTCATTTAGCGTAGAAATCAAAGTATGAATAAAAACAAAATTTAAAAAAAAAATGTTTTGCAAACAGTACTTACTCCTTGTGATCGGCGGGCACGGGTTTGCCGGCGTCGTGTTGCGCCGGCGACGCTACGGGCGCCGTGACGTCACCCTCGCTGCGCAGTCGGGACACGAACGAGTCCGCGTCCGTGCCGCGGCTGCCGAGCTTCATGGCAGAACGACCCACTGTACGACTAGAAGAAAGAAAATAAAGTTTTTTTTTATTGCTTAGATGGGTGGACGAGCTCACAGTCCACCTGGTGTTAAGTGGTTACTGGAGCCCATAGACACCCACAACGTAAATGCGCCACCCATCTTGAAATATAAGTTCTAAGGTCTCAAGTATAGTTACAACGGCTGCCCCACCCTTCAAACCGAAACGCATTACTGCTTCACGGCAGAAATAGGCAGGGCGGTGGTACCCACCCGCACGGACTCACAAGAGGTCCTACCACCAGTAATTACGCAAATTAAAATACATATTTCTATTAAATTAAATTACATATTTCGTCTTTTCGCATTAAAAGTGTCCAAAAATATTCGAAATTGAGTTAATATGCGGAATCATTTGGCATCACCAGTATTCTTCTAATAAATACCGTCAAAAGAGCATAGTTAGCTTTAGTTTTTTTTTTTAGTTTACCTATGATTTGACTACGATGTATTAACAAAATTAATACATAATATTATCATACTTTAAAAGACAGATAATGTAACGGGTACAAAATAAAAAATAAATGTTGCAAATATGATTAATATTAAAAATATCACATGTTTATGTACCGTTAGAGCGCACTAACTACGGGGCTAATGATATGTCTATTAGATTACCTAAGACCTACAACAAGTTTTATTCAGATATTGATATCTTTACAACATCCAAAACTATGTTCAAAACTGCAGTTCTTAAGCTTAAGTTTAAGTTAAGCTAAGGGTTTGTTATTGTTTGAATCTTTAAAATATTTACAAATTGAAAAATAATAATCTTTAAAGTATTTTCGGTGTTCTACAATTAACAATCAACGTTTATAATCAATTCGAGCGTCCATGTAAACCAACCACTACATTACACTCACACGCACTTACACACATCGACACAACACAATCAGATTCAAACTTATTCTGCAAGTTATCATTCGACAAAATTCATCTACCTATTTAACTGCCTTACCTTTACCTTAGTTGGACTACATGTGTTCATTAATTATGTGTTAACATTTTTTGGAAACATAATGTGTTTCTTTAATTGGCTCATGTTTGGGAAAACATCCTCTGTACCCTGTGTCTAGTTAAATGCTTTTGAAACATTGTTGATTAAATGAATAAATAAAAACCTTTAAAACACGCTCCTGTAAAATTAGTAAGTTTTGAGATTATCTATATATTAATACGTGCTGCAAAAACTTTGTATCCCTTTTTACGAAAATTGCGCAGACGGAGGAGTATGAAATTTTCCACACTTATAGAGAATATAGAGAAGAAGTGCATAATGCTAATATTTTTTATAAATAATGCATAAACGATACATTAAATCAATAAAGAAAACATTACACACACTACATATCATGTATTTGACGCAAACACGCATGCACACTATTTATTGTCAAACTTTTGTTCTTGACGTCTGCGGTCAAATTGAGAATAGATTAAAAATATTGTTTGTCTTTGTTCATATTTTTATAGTGTAGTCTTGGTGAAATTTGTGAATATAGAAGTATAAAATACAATCATAATAGTGTACAAACTTACAATTCGAATTAATTATAGTCGAATTTCGACTACTGCGGGACCTCTAGTACACTTTTAATGCGCGTAGTCAATGTCAAGCTCAAATATAATTTTAATGCGATTATATAAGTGTGTGTGTATGTACTTTTTGCGCCTTTCTTGGGTAGGTTTTTTATTATAGTTAAAAGGACTTTTACGATTTAATTTCGTCTATCTATATTGTCGTTACAATATTACCTACGTTTTTGAATATTTAAGATTTTTAGAGATCGCGGACTGTTTTTTAGATTTTAGATTTTTTACGCCTTTCTAGATTACTTGTTGAAATATATTGATTTATGCCTTTTTTTTGGGGAGGATATCTGGTGTCCGGACGCCTTTGCCAGCAAAATGTTATAAAATTAGATGATTTTTTTGTCTATGGTTAATTTTTAACTGTGTCATTAACTAGTTATATTGTCTGTCAGTTACAACACTGTGATTGACATTAATATTGAAAGATAATAATTATCTCTTAATTATCTCTTTAACTCACGTATCTCTGGCCGGTGTCGTTGGAATCTTCTCGGCAATAGATTCAGATGGAGACGACGAGGACATCGTCGAGCTACCAAAGCCACTGCCTAAGAGAAAGAAAAAAAGATGCATTAACTTTAAAATATGGAGGGTAGAGGTAGGGAGAACCGTCTCATACGGGAGAAGCTTGAAAAAGTGTCTCACTTTCAGCACCAAAGACCGCTCACCGTCCTCGCCGAACCCGTCGCCTGCGACAAAGGGCTCAACGAGCGAATTAACCCACAGACACAGCCCACTGAGTTTCTCGCCGGATTTTCTCAGTGGGTCGCGTTTCCGATCCGGTGGGAGATTCTGCGAAACACTGCTCTTGCTAGGGTCAGTGTTAGCAACACTCCGGTTTGAGCCCCGTGAGCTCACCTACACACGTTAGGGTGAAGCTGAAATAGCCTCTCAAGGCTATCAACATAGGTAGGAGGAAAAAACAAAACACTAAATAACAGTTCAAAAATCTTACAGAATGGCGATCGCATAGGCACAGGGTATGATATGAATTGAACAGTTGTTAACTGATTGAAGTATGGTGAGTTAGGAAATTAAATATATTTAATGACTAGAGTAGTTTACGTAGTTCAAACTAATTTCGTCAATATAACCTAAAATTATTGCTGTGGTAACACGTGGAGACATCGATTGCATTTTCTTATCAGCTTTAAATAAAGTACTTGTTGTGATTTTGTAGTGCTTACAGTTCTTTTGTCCTTTTTTATTTCTCTATCTTATTCTAATAACATTAAGCGCCTTTTTTTAAATTTACCCGGTTGCTACTGTAGCGCCACCCCTATTTAGCAGATTTTAACGGACACTTTTTACACACAGAGATGGTTCTCCTTAACTCTACCCTCCGTACTTTAAAATTTCGTATTTTTTGGCAAGCGAACAATGTCGCCAGTACCGAGACAATCAAATGAGTTTCTAATGATAAAAACCCTTCCTAAAATCAATTTCGTGAGCAGTCTACGAAGATATCGACTGTTTTCTAAACAAAATGTGTTTACTTGAAACTTTAGATAAATTAGATTTTCAATTCGTTTGAAAATGAGCAAATTTGACAATCTGTGATTTCATCTCAAAGATGGTAGGGCGTCTTTTGAGCCCGCAAGAGTAGGTATCACCACCCTGCCTATTCTGTCTATGGAACGTTTGCTTACGTTTGCCGCTAGGGGCGCTGTTCTAATTGCATAAAAACTTGAGTTAACTTTTACGCTATCGAGAACGTTAAAGAACTCGCACAAAGCACACTGTTCTTACCGAAGGACATCTGTGAGCGCGGCGGCTGGCCACGTTTGGCCGCTTCCAATCTCTCGCGCTGCAACTCCTTAGCGCGTTCGCGCATGCGGTTTGCCGCCTCGCGTTCTTGAGTCTAAAGTGTTTGTAAGTCTTTATTTATTGCTTAGATGGGTGGACGAGCTCATAGTCCACCTGCTAAGTGGTTACTGGAGCCCATATATATCTACAACGTAAATGCGCCACCCACCCTGAGATATAAGTTCTAAGGGTTATATAAGGGGTATTATTGCAGATATTTAAATGTAAAAAACAACATGATTCTATACAGTTAAGTTCAGTCTCACAAAATGGTACACTTTTTATATCTTGAGTAGATTGTTGTGGTTTGCTGGATGAAAATATTAACAATAATATTACTGCATTAATAATTCTGTTTCAATTTAAAATTCTGCCCATAGCAAAAAAAATTTAGTAAATAAATTAAAATTACGTGCTATTATACTTAAGGGTATACAACGGCTGCCCCGTCTTTCAAACCGAAACGCATTACTGCTTCCCGGCAGAAATAGGCAGGGCGGTGGTACCTACCTGTGCGGACTCACAAGAGGTCCTACCACCAGTAAGTACGTATAATTGTGGGAGGTTTTTTTTAGAGACAGATGATGCTATATTGGAGCACTGGTATGAGTAATGGTAGGCAGCGACATGGCTGTGTCCCTGGCAATGATAACGTTCATGAGCGACGGTAACCAATTACCATCAGGTGGGCCGTAAGCTCGTCTGCCTTTAAAGGCAATAATAAAAAAGCAGTCGGACGGCTGCTTTAAATTACTAGGGACTCCCGTCAAACTATCGAAATTCGACTATAATCTATGACACCTTAAAATTTACACAATGAGTCTATGTTTTGTGTTATATTATCTGTATCGTTATGTTATAAACTTTAAAAAAGGACTTTTTGGCGGGAACGCGAGGAGTGAAGTTGTGTGATTTGTTTTATTTTGTCTATTTAGTGTTTCTTCAGGTTTAAATGTGTAATAATGGTGGTTTATTAACTGTTTAATATCTGTGAAAGTGCACAAATGTGGGAAAATGAAACAAAGCTGCTGGACGTAGCTTCTCGGGTTCCTCCAAAAAGTCCACTGAAAAAATTTCAGTAAATGACCACCATTTTACTGCTATTATATTTCATCCCATATCATCTCATTTCATTAAATTTCATCCCAGTTGATTAATGTCTCAAATTAATCATCTTCATTTCATTTCACTCCATATTATTATATTTTTCATAAAATTAAGAATATAAAGTAAAATAAGACATGACTTAAAGGTCTTAGTTACCAGGTCATAAAATCTCTTAAAAAAAAAAACTTTAAAATAGCCGTACTGTCATTGGCCACTAAACAGAATTTTATCTTTGTTTATCTATGTAGAGATTACACACGATATTCGAATGAGTTTCACTACTTCGACATCATGCAGTAACTAGTTGAATGACTCGGATACACAGCACAGTGGTTAGCACTCCCGTCTACGAGGACGAGGGTCGTGAGTTCAAATTCCACACAAACATTTGTGTGATCAACAAGCTTGTTCGTTATTTTTCTGGGTGTTATAGGCGTATATATCAACATATATTAGTCTGTGGTTCACATAGAATAGGAAAATTTAGGAACTTATAGGAAGAAATGCTGGATTTGCTTGATACCTAAATATTTTAAGAGAATCCTTTTCTTATTAATCAGTTGTATTAATTTGATATAAATAACAAAAAATATAAACATGTAGGTAATTATTATACGGATTTTTTTTAAACATGGCAACCCAAGGCCAGTTGATGCTAAACTCACGCGACCCACGCACGTATCTATGGAACTTTGATTTACAGGAAACTCCGATTAAATAACAGTGAGCTGAATAATTTGTCTATAGACGAATATCACAATAGAAAGAAAATTAAAAACATTATTAAATTCATACACGTACCTGCCTTACGGCTTGATAAATCTTTTCCTCGTGAGAGTCCATTTCAACAAACGAACGGACCTTAAACAAAACAAGTTTGCAAAATTTCAATTCAAGAATATATAGGGCAATGTAGAAAATCGGTAAACGATCTCACGGCCAACCTTTTCATAAGTGATTACCAGATGCCGTAGATATCATAATGTGAATTTTGGTGCCTATCTCCAGACATGAGGTCTACATCTCAATAGTATAGCGGCTATTTCAACCATCGAGCCGAAACGCATTACTGCTTAAGAGCTGAATTGAATATATCTTGCATATTGTTACGCTCTGGGGCTCGGGATAAATAAAAGTTTCACCGAAGTCCAAATTAAAAGTCTATTTAACTCTTAGAACACTCAAGGAATACTTTACAATTCGCAATTCACTTCTTCCGCTTCGCTACGAGTAGAACCGTTTACTAAGCTGCCTTCATGTCATCTCTGCAACGCTTTTATAGTCGACACGACAAATCTAGAATTATTGAGAACCTTCCCGATAGGATGAGTCGTTTCGATATGTTTTACAGCTATTTGATAATAGATGGCGTTACACTTCTCGAGCGTTCTCGATGTTACTAGTTCTTTTGATCTTCGTTTCTGCTATTCGATGATAAATGGCGTTACTCTTACCGGCGTAACAATATCAAATTCATCTGTCTTATATACATACCTGCGCTAGATTGACGCTTTCTCTGTACCCAAGAGCGACAATCTCGTCGAACGCAAATAGCAAGTTGAAGGCCTGGTTCAAGACTTCAGTTTCTGTGAGCTGTACACAATATTCTGGTACCTAGAAAGAAAATAATAAGCACCGATAACTTGCTATTTTTGTTTGCAAAACAACCTAAGCTCCAACAACCTAAAAAAATGTATGTTATTGTCAAATGAGACTTCTTATGAACATAAGTGGTGGATATTAGGTATTGCAGTCGTTGTCCATGTCCACTGGCAGTGACAACCGCTGTAGCAGTAGCAATTGTAAAATAAAAAATATAAGACAAAAACACTGAATCAAGCTAAGAACATTTTCATGATAATCTGGCATCACAAGTTCTGAACAACAATATTCTTAAAGTTAATATTCATAGCAATATCATTCGCTCAGTAAAAGATTTTAAAGATTAACCTTAGTTTGTCATACGTTTCACACAATAAGAGAATGATCGACTCTACGAAGCACTGCTCTTGCTAGGGCTAGTGTTAGCAACATACTCGCCCGGGTATGCTGGCATAAGCCCTCATAGGCTCCAGTAACCACTTAACACCAGGTGGGCTGTAAGCTCGTCCACCCATTTAAGCAATTAAAAAAAACAAGAGTACACAGTACTCTAACATTTGTTATTTTACAAGTATATATTTTGAATTTTATATAATTATAATTAATAATACTAAAATTTGTTATTAAGCATTATGTTTTATAAAAATCAGTTGACATTCCAAAGAATACAGTGTTCAAGTGTTTTTCTTTGCCCATTCATGTAAGTTTATTTGATTTGCCTAATGTGAACCACAGATCTGTTCTTTATTTTGTACTATAATTGTGTGAATTTACTTGCACTATGAACTTTTGTGTACAATTTTAAATTGTTTACATCCGTGCCCCTCCCTCATTTTAATGAATACTGAAAATATTGAAATTTTTGTAACTGATATAATCTGCAATGTCGTTATCACTATATGTGTACTAAATAAATAAAAATGTAATGCGATTAATAATATTTTACCACTCTGCTGAAGAGTCTCAATGTCTCCAAATCTTCCAGGATGTTACTAGCCTTTGTCGTGATCAGTAACATATACAACTTGTCTAGTGGCTGGTAGACATATCTGAAAGTGATTACAATTTTTGTTAGACATTATTTTGTATCAGAATTTTTTAACTTGCTTTATATTTAATTGTACAGCATATAGGTGAGTAAGCTGATGTCTCCTGTGGTGTATAGTTCCCATAGATATCAACGACAATAACAATGTTGCTACTCATTTTAAGACACAATGTTAAACTCTTTATTGTACATTATAACAACTTTCAAAATAGACATATGACACTGATTCACAGCAGAAATGGGTAATGCACTACACTTTTAGTTCTTATTTATTGATTATATGAATATATTGGTATGCTTATAAACAACATTCGTCATTGGTATAAAAGAAAGAATAACTCATTGTAAAGAATATTAATGAAAATTTGTTAATGATAAATACCTGACGGACTCTGTTTCAACAAATGTATGCTGCCGTCCTCCTGTCATTAGTTTAGGGAAGGCTGCCAGTAGACCTTCGATGCGAGCTTTTGTCATTTCGACGAACTGACGAGACACCAGAGCTAAATAAATAGAACATCATTAATAGACAATTAAAGTAATATACTGCATTAAAATAATATTATGAAAAGTATCAAATGTCTGTAGTTGAAGCACATATCGGTAATATAAATTACCTTTGCCTGACTTCGTACAAACTGTAGCGGCTATAAGTACCTGAAATAACATGAAAATACATATGATTTCAGTAGTAAACACTGACCGGGAATACAATCATATCTATAGGAATAAATTTAAAATAATGTGATTTATGGAATGTATGATGAAGAGTGTACGTTAGTTTTATTTAACGATACATACCATCTTGTTTTTTTATTCTTATATCTAATTTTCATAAAAAACACCAAAATATTTTAGGATAGGCTTCCACAAATTTGACAACACACACGATGAGGTGACGTGTTGACCATTTGACAGCAAACGTCAACAGTATTTTGTTAGACTATGGTTAGACCACGTTTGAGACATTAATCAACTGGGATGAAATGAGATAATATGGTATGAAATATAATCTCAGTAAAATGGTGGTCATTTACTGAGACTTTTCAGTGGACTTTTTGGAGGATCCCGAGAAGTTACGTTCAACGGCTTTGTTTGATTTTCCCACATTTGTGCACTTTCACAGATACTAAGCAGTTAATAAACCACCGTTATTACATAATTAAACCTGAAGAAACACTAAATAGTTACACAAAATAAAACAAATCACACAACTTCACTCCTCGCGTTCCCGCCAAAAAGCCTCTATGGTTAACTGCCAATTCTAGTTAAAGATAATTGGTGAACTTGGTGTTAAAGAGTAATTCACAGGGGAAGTCATTCAAAATAGTTCGGATTAAACAATTTTTATCCAACATTTCTAACTGCTAAGATTTGGTTTATGAAAAAACCCAGCTATAACTTAGATAAAGAAAAGATCTCATCTAAACTGTCAAAGATTATTTGTCAATGACAATCAGAAGAGGAACATACCTAGTATAAATACTAAGTAGTCAAAATATAAATTTCAGTAATCTGTGCTTAAATGTCAAAAGTCAGTGTCTGTAAATCAAGGCACGTTGAGGACAATTGTTCGTAAATTATCAGTAAATTAAAAAAAAAAATTTATTTATTAATAATTATTATTGTTCATTCATGTATTATGCTCACAATGGAGGCTACATTGTGACGCGGCCGGTTAATGTATACGGAATTTGCTTACACATCAAAGAAGCCAAATAACCGTAGTAAGTGAATTTGAAATATTTTCGTAGCTATAACTCGACAGGACACATGCTAGAGTCTTTGAATCTTATCTACGTTATATTCGCTAATGGTCAGACAATTTAATTTGCATACAATGACGGTTTCGTGCCGAAACAGTGATAATCGTCAGACGAAAAGTCAGTCTTGTTTTGATAGTTCAATTTCATTAGTCAAAAGCGATTATCTCTGTTAATACCTACGCAAGTAATTATTTTCCAAGATTTTACACATTTGTAGTTGGTCTTAGTTTTATTCTAATGGAAGAAACATCTTTGATTGACAGTGACAATGAGGTACTTNTACAATGACGGTTTCGTGCCGAAACAGTGATAATCGTCAGACGAAAAGTCAGTCTTGTTTTGATAGTTCAATTTCATTAGTCAAAAGCGATTATCTCTGTTAATACCTACGCAAGTAATTATTTTCCAAGATTTTACACATTTGTAGTTGGTCTTAGTTTTATTCTAATGGAAGAAACATCTTTGATTGACAGTGACAATGAGGTACTTGCATGCTGTTGACATAATAATATCTTTATTAATATTTTACTTTTGAATGAGTTTTAGATGTTTGATGTTCTTTTACAGAACGTAGGAGAATGACAGTAAAAAATATTTTATTAATTTTAATCAGGTATAATTTTCAGTTCAATTTCAACATACCTTCATTTGATTAAAATTACAATTCAACTAGATGAAGGTTTAAAAGTAAATATTTCACAAAAAAAAAACCTTAGGCTTAAACCTAATCGGCAAATATCTGAGGGCAAAATTTACAGTCCGTAGTGGTGATTATGTGTAGAAATGAGGAGATGTGACACGTGCAGTGCCCAAACTGAACGAAGGGCCACAGCGGGCCGCGGTGGAGAGTCAGGCGACCGCGACCCACTGTTACGCTCCCCAACAATATCTCAAGAGGAGCCCTACGATAACAGACCTTTCGTAAGACATATGTGTTTAACGTAGTTAGCATGTTCATTATTTTTTAATAGTGTCGTCAACACTATTTGAGCTGAAGTAATAAATGAATACTAAAGTTGGATTTTTTTATCAGTGATTTTTTTATGTTTACTGTCATTTTATCAATATACAATACAATTTTAAGATTATTATAAAAACTGGGTTTATCCTGTTTCTTTGCCAAGTATACTTTAAATACACTTTCAATTATGATTAATGCCATTAATGTTAAGTTAATCAGTATTGCATGCTTAATTGATGAATAATGTTCCTTTGAATTTTTTTAATAATTGGATCATACCACACTTTGGAAAAAAAAAGAAACTTGAATCTTTAAATATTCAATGAATTTGTCAACTCGAAATTCAGTGCTAATAATCTTAATTACTGGAACTGAATTGATATATCAACCGAGCTTGGTAAATTTTAATGCAATGATAAATAGGTAAGGTAAGATGAAATAGGCATAGATGGTCCCTCTGCAAATATGTTGTTATATATTCCAAGATGATTCGTAAGTTTATTTTGTGTTTTGCCAATTTGCAGAATAACTCAAAAGTTTCTGTTACTGTTATCAATTTTTTTTAGATAAAGTACAAAAATTCTTGGGACAGCTCATTTAGTGTTGTAGACTGCACCGTAAATGTGTCCTTTTATTTCCTAAATGTAGATGTTCAAGCACTGTGTCAGCGTCTAATTTATCATACGCTAATTTGATAGTGAATAGTTCTTATAATTGATTGGAGAAATGTTGAAACAAAGCGAACAAGAATCGTTACCATCAACGAATGTAGTAATTGTAAAAAAGGTATTAAAACTGTTGGACATTTAAACATCTCCAATAAAACTGCGTAAAAATAAAATTGACCTAGTATTTTCTTCAGTTTTTCCTAGTGTTAGACAAAATTATAGCCCCCAGATTTACTGAATCGCGTTTCCGATCTGGTGGTAGATGCTGCGAAGCACTGCTCTTGCTAAGAATAGTGCTAGCAACGTCCTCAGATTAAAGCCTCGTGAACTCTCCTACGCACTTGCTTTTGCTGGCATAACCACCTAGGTTACCCAGTTAGGAAAGAATAAAATAAATTATAACTACTTTTACGGTTTCTGAAAGCCTAACCTAATTCACAGACTAATTATTTTTTATTTAATCAAACAAGTGAGCGATAAATATACATAATTAAAAAATCTGTTTTGGAATACGAAAGTTAGAACCTATTTTGATTTTTTTCTACAGAAAACACACTACAGTGAATAATGACGTCACTTTATTATGCATAAAACTATGCCATTACTCTGTTGGAGGGAAAGTCGATTTATAAAATTAGCATTTTCTCCAAATATAGGTGCGATAATTAAAATTAATTTTACGGTTTCATTTAACAGTCATGGACGACTCGTGACTTCCGTAAAATTTGTTTTAATCACATTTATATTTGTAAAGAAACTAGTGGTATTAGTAGGAATAGTATCGTGAGTCCATTTCGTTTCTTCTTAAGGACTGCCGTTTGGCGGGTGGCGGCATTTTTGTTGACACGTCTGGACCCTGAAATCGTTAAAAAAAAAAAAACAAAAAAGTTATCGCGTACCGCCATCTTCTTATCAATAGCTAAAAGTACTTATTTAGGTAGTTCTGCCTTATAGTTTTCGTTTTAATTAAATACAAATAGATTATTTATTGTAAGAACAATGATTACAAGAAGCACACATTGTATTTATATTAGACCAGTCCACGTAATTCTTTTGTTTCTGATTGCTTTCACGAGAAACTAACGTAAATGATGTTACGATAATTATGAACGGTATTGTTATAGCTGTAACGTGCAGTCGTAAAACGAAAAATATCGTGTTGATTTTTATTTACGACTACACCACAAAGATTTTGACAGATTGCCGCTCCTTTTACGGCCTCCATATTTATTAATCTGGCAAGACTGTATGGTTTTTTTTGTATTAGATAAATAGTTAGTCCCTTACGGCTTAACTGGTGTTACGTGGTTACCAGAGCCCTATTTACGATATAAATACTGCCACACATCTTGAGACATGAGATCTAAGGTCTCAGTTTTTACAGTTTGTCTGTCCCACTTTTCAAACCGTAACGCATTACTGCTTCACGGCAGAAATTAGGCGAGTCGTTTAGTGGGTGGGCCCTAAAATTCCTTGAGCCCGCGGTCTGCTCCCAACACCTTGCAGATCGTCAAGTCCCACATGCCCCCTAGGCGCGGGGACCTCGTAGGAGGTTCGGCCCCCGGCCCGAAAAAAAAAGGGTTGTAGTACCTAAACTTGCGGACTCTCAAAACGACCTACCAGTTGTTTTTTTAAAGGGACCACAATCCGGGCTGCTGTGCTTGTCGATCTTTGATCTCATTTCGACCCGATCACTACGGAACTTCACAGGATCACTCGCCCGGCCAATCTGATGATTTACTGAAAATTTCCTCGAAATCGGTCCGGCCGTTTCGCAGTCTCCGGGGGACGCCCATAAACTAATCGATTTACACATTTTACGATTACGATTTATACATTTCGATACATAAAATATATTAATATAAAGTTAAATCGATGTTTTATCGTTCAAATAAATCTATCTCCTTTATATAATTAAATCAAAGACAATAATATGATAGCTTTTTTTTTTCTAAATGATCATGTTATTGGCAAGTGAATATCACGCGTATTAACAACATACATGCCATTTTCCCACCCTAAGGCATTAGTTCTAATCGGAATTATATTGTATAACGATTCTCCTACATTCTACATGGTGATATGAATAAGCAAGATGGCGATAAACAAAATAACACCCAAGTTTTNAATCAAAGACAATAATATGATAGCTTTTTTTTTTCTAAATGATCATGTTATTGGCAAGTGAATATCACGCGTATTAACAACATACATGCCATTTTCCCACCCTAAGGCATTAGTTCTAATCGGAATTATATTGTATAACGATTCTCCTACATTCTACATGGTGATATGAATAAGCAAGATGGCGATAAACAAAATAACACCCAAGTTTTAAAAAGAAACCAAAGTTCCGAATCTATCTTCCTATCCTTATTAAAATTGTAGGTTAAGCCGCGGCTCTTGACCTTAACCACCACCAACTGTAACCAATTACCATCAGGTAGTTCACATGCTAATCTTTTATCAACAAAAAAGAGGAAAAGTACAGTAATCCCCCCTATAATGCTGTAGTTTGGTCCCGCGTTATGGGAGTATTGTCTTATAAAAGCTTATATGACCCCATATAACGACGCGTTATGTACAAATATAATATAAATAACCAATGTTTTTACAATTCCAAAACGAGTAACACAAATTTAATAAATTAATTTATGTTAATTTTATATCAACAAAATTGACACAATGTGCAAATGTACCCGAAATTAATTATGAACTGTATATATTTTCACAGCATGTATAGTTTTACAGAAATATAACATGTGAAATCCTCGCGTTATATGGGGTAATATTCGTGTTAAACGAGGAAAATCGCGTATTATTAAAATGCTTTATAAGATTATCGTGTAATAAAAGGGGGATCACTATCTTATACCTTTAAACGAGCAATTCTTGTATATATAATATATAATCTGAATCTCGGAAACGGCTCCAACGATTTTCATAAAATTTAGTATACAGGGGATTTCGGGGGCGATAAATCGATCTAGCTACGGTTTATTTTCAGAAAATGTTGTTTTATTCGTGTTTTCAATAATCAACTCTTCCCGACATCTATTGGCGAATAATAAAACTTTTTTTTTTAATTGAGGGCAACTAACCGTTTTAAGGACACAACAAGATGGCGATATCAAAAAAAAAAAAAAAACGAGCAAAGCTCGGTCATCATCTGGTATTATTTCTCCACGATCCTATCGTCATCGGATTCCGAAATGCTTTTAAAAATTTGAAGTTTTAGTTGATTTTAAAAATTCCACCGTGTACAGTTTATAGAGAAGCGTGTCAAGAGAAAGGTGGTAATTAGCGTCCTTGTAGAAAATTAGTTTCCGATATACCTTGAATTAATTATGACAGAACGTTGCGTACGCACCAATATTAAGGATAAGGACACGAAATTAGTTCTACACGTTTCTATCGATCACACATTAAATATGTATCTTCGAAATCGGATGTGTTTTCCACAATGATGAGTGACGGTACACGCGATGTTATTAACCATTTAAGTGCTGAGATCAGCTTTGAAATATTTTGCAGAGATTGCTAGAGGATTATTGAAAAAGAGTACCTTACAAAAAAAAAAAAAACAAAAGTCAATGCTAAATTCTCAGAAAAATAATTTTAAATTGTTATTTAAAAATGTTAAATCAACTTATTTCTTTTTTTATTTAAGGATTACCAACAGGGCTTACAGTAAGGCTTAAAATAATATTGACATGTACCTATAGAGCAATTGATAACTGTAACTCTAATTAGAGGCAATCACAGCATGCATTACATTAATATATCAACAGAGATTTAACAATACTAATAATAATAAATAAGAAAGACAACAAGGATAGTAATACCCGAGTACTCAGACCGAGGCTGAGGTTCAACAACAACTTTTTATAATTTTGTTCCTGAATATTGGAAGGGAATCGCGAAATATGTCAAGGTTTTCAGCTTTTCTGACTAGATTATTATAAAGATTAGTTAGACGAGGAGCAGGTGAGTGCTTGCCTAGATTGGTTCTGCGTTCGTACAGGTCTATAACTAATACCTATACTCAATCTGCGCAAATAGTCGGCTTACTGACGCTCCGCACTTTACACGCAACAATAGGGTCGATTTATCGACATCATTCCAAATATATAGCAACCGACACGGGAGGCAATCATGCATTTACTGCAGTGTTTTCCATATAGGTTGGGTTTTTAAAACGGGCTATAAGTATGTATAGACTTTCTTTAATGCGATTTATTTGCCTAAATATTTGTATCCATTTATTTATGTAACGGAATCTTTTAACGTAA